CTTATGAGAACCAGGCTGAAAAACTTATGTGCACCCCTGTTTATATCATATTGCAGTGCAAAATATTTAGACTTATTTAACTACCCAATAAAAGAACTTGCTGTGGCTTTGTCTTTTTGTTTAGCTCTTGGATCTGTGTATACTGGATGTAAGAAGTGTGGAGTTCTCTTACGGCCTTCTTGCAGCTTCTGCACTCTTCCACTTCTCTTCTCTAGAGCTAGTGATGAAAGTTTCAGGTATGAATTTAACAGCTCTTGTGTGAATTTCTTCTCAACGGCTCTATGTATTTGAGCATGTATATCACAAAATTGGCTTAAGTGGTTGGAAGTGACCTTTGATTTATTTGGTTTCAGGGCTGAAGTGGTGTGACATGGAGGAGTGTGTGAGATGGATGGTCCCTTTCGCCATGTCAATCCATGAAGCAGGCAGCTCAGCCCTCAAGACATTCAAAGGAATAGCAGTGGATGATATGCACAATATCCAGACCCACGTGCCTTACATGGAATGGCTGGTAAGTTTACTTTGTTTTGAACTTGGCCACGACTACTTTGTCTAGTTTGTCTTAAATTGGGTTTTAATCTCAGGCCAGTTCACTTCAATCTGAATATTATATGTATATATAATTTGTGTGTGTGTATTTACGTACAAACGAAAATTGGGCTTAAACAGTAGCGTCTGTCTCGTTCTCACTACAGAATTTTGCATAAATTTGCCCCAGCCACAACATTTGTTTCTTTCACTTCCTCTAGCCTAAAGTTTTCTTGTTTCTTTTCTTATTTTTCAGGGAAAGGTGCACTCCTATCAGCTAGTGGACATTGAGAGCAGTCAGAGGTCTCCTGTTCCCTCTGGAGTGCTCACACCACCACCCAGCAGTGAAAAGCCCGAGAGCACAGTCTCCTGACTTCATTATGTATGGAATAGGACACAGCCCTGACAGATGAGTTTAAATGAAAATCAACAAATCAACGGCATTACAGGACAAACGCAAGCATCAGCTCACATGCATCAGCATAAGACTCAAGACCAAAAATGTCTTATGCTTCATTTTTTTCCCCCACGTGAGACTTGAAAGACATGAAATAATTTTTGTTTTAATGGTTTGGTGTTTTTATTTTTTTTTTAGTTAATGTATACTACCTGCCAAAATCTCAGAGCTGTTGCTGTCTCTGATTGCTGCTAAAATAGGGTGGGACTGGAGCAGATGGAAAGATGACCACAGAGATCCCCACACAAATATGGGCATGGGTTTCTGGGGCTCAGGTTGCCATTTGGACCAGCAAAATCCTGACAGGTTGTCATGGGGATGCGAGTCTCCACTGCCAGAAAGGACCAGAGAAATCACCAGCTTCAGAAGCTAGGACTCGAATTTTATATTTAAGATTTTCCACTGGTCGCCTCCTATGTGTTTGTAACCAAATTTGATAATTCGCTTTTTATAGGTTTGTTTTTAAACAAGATGCTGCTACATTTCTCTATATCATGTCTAAATAAAGCCACTGTCTCGGACAGTTTTAAGTATACTATGCTTATTGATTTCCTGATGTGTGTAAATGAACTAATTGTGTGAATTTTTACTTTCGTATTATAATATAAATAATATGAAATGTCTTTTAGACATTGTGTTATATTTTAATTAACTTTAACATTTTTGTTATTTAAAATAACCATTTGCTTTTCAAAAGAAAAACAAATTGGAAATTATTCATTTTTAACATGTTTGCGTTTAACAATTCTCGATTTGGCAGTGAAATGAGAGACGGATTAGCAACCAAATATATTAATGCATTACAAAAAGGAAAATAAATAAATGGTTTAAATATTCAACTATTTAATTTCCTAACAAGGCTGCATCCTGTAGTGTGTCTCATTAAACTTCATGGGGGAAAAACTCAAGCGTGTATAATTTGACATGCATGTACAGAAGCAGCTCAGTTTGGCTGTTAATGAAACTTGGAATAATTGAATTATGAGTAGCCTTATATATAAATTGGTCTGATTATCGAAAAGCAATCCATGCAGATTGGAGAAAAAAAAGTACCCTTGCGGGCGGTTTTACAGCACGAGTCAATAATAGCAGATGCGCTGAAGTGCTGGATCATCTTAAGAGATCTATGAAATGTCGCAAAATGGTGAACAGGGCCTGTAATGGCTGTCTCGCTTGTGCATCTACATACACAGTGCCCTCTGCTTGCAGTCTGAGAACGA